CCCCAAAACCCCAAAACCCCAAAACCCCATTAAGAAGAATTTGCGGTACTTTTTAAAATAAATTAAAAAGAATTATTAGGAAATTAAAATACAATTTGACAAAATGATCATATTGATAACTTTTTTATCTTGTCCATCATCTTGATAAAATAGAGAATTCCATAATTAAAATTATCATCTTTCTAAAGCTGTTTAATAAGTTCACAATGTTACTCAACTTAATGGTTGTAGATAAAAAGAAAATCATCTAAAAGAATCAGAAATGATTCAAACGAGAACATTTTAATTAGGTTCTACTCTGAATAATTATAGAGAGCCTTTTTTACTGATTATAGCATCAACTTATCATATTTATCATCGTAAAGTAATTCTGTCTTGCTACTTTATATTAATCCTCCTACTAAAACTATAAGCTTGTGTTTCTGCAAGCTATTCAACTTGTTGAAATTGTTTCTTCCTTGAATGTCAGTGATTAACTATTCTACATATATTTCTAAGCATTATTTGAAGGCATCTATTCCCCTTCTTCTTTTATGCTATAGATAATTAGTTGAGCGCTAAAACTACTTAAGGTGATATTTTCTTATTTTCCTGAGCACAGGCTTTAATACAAGATCTAATCACTTTAACCCAAGAGTATCTCTTAAATCCTTTTTAAATATTTCAAAATCCTATGATATTTTCTAATGATTTGTTGATTTTTTTGCTTTATTATTATTGTTTGAAATTAAGCCAATATTTTTCAATTCTTCATTTCTATCCATACTTAGTGATTTATTATTCTATTTAATTGATTCATATTGTTATCCAATGTCATCAATTGGAATTAGACATTCTTCATTTGTGTTTTACTATTAATTAATGCTTGATTGATAATCTCCAATAAATTGTTCCTTTAAAAACAATTCTTCTGAGGGGCTTAAATATAATTTCTTTTTTGTATCATAATTTCCGATATTTTTGACATCTTTTAATCTAGAATTAAAAGAAGTCACATTTTCAAATGATTATTCTATTCTCAAAAACCTTTATGGTGATTTGAAATATTAAGAGGAAATACTCTGCAAATTATCAAATTCTTATTATTCATTAAATCTATCTTTTTATATGGACTTTGAAGCTGAACTTTAGTTTGCATGAGTCAACTGAGTATAATGGCATTGATCTCCAAAAACTTAATTTGTTTCTGATTGTATTTCATTATTTAGAAAAATGGATGGAGAAAGCCATTCTTTGAAATTCTTTGTTTCAGAATTCAAATCTGGTTTAAAAGAAATTCTTAATGGAGATAAGAACTATTCTCCTTGGTATTATTGCTTATAATTCATATTCACTTAAAAAATGTTTGTTCCTTTAAATTCTTTTCAAATTCTTTAAAACAATTATCAAATTATCTTAACTCCCCTACGTTATCTGAATTCAAATATTAGAATCAAACTCTTTAATTTTGAAGCAATGTACCTAGAGGAAGAGTTTTGAGATTCAAAGCATTTTCTAATCTAACAAATTAGCTGGAAAATGCATTTTGAATTCTGAAATATTAGCAAGATACTCAAAC